AGGGAACGACATTGATATTCCTAGGAGGGACTGTCGTGCGAAAATTAAATGCCCTGGTTGCTCGATCGAAACGACAGCGACATACTCCGAACGAGCCAGCTGTGCTGCCGGCTGAAGCAAAGCTGCGTACACAATGGCATGCTAGGGAAATCGAAGGGTAGATTCGTCGAGTAACGATTTCGACGAGAGAAAAAAAAAGAGAAATAAAGAGCGAGAGGGGATGAAGTAAGGGACGGCAGTCCGTAGGGTTCCGCGCGATGACGCGATACATTCCAGAGACGAGGGCGGTGGGATTCACGTGTCTCCTGTCATCCCTTCCTCCCTTTCTCAGAGTCTGGTTTCTCCCTCCTCTATGACGGTTTCTGCTACCTGCTACCCTCTCCAGATACGCCAACCCGGGACACACCCCTGATAGAACAGAAACCTGATCTCTGTGCTATTTCCCTTTTTCTCCTCCGCCCGGCGTACAAAGGCGCGAGAAAATACTTCAGTCTGTCGTCTGAGTTTTATCTCGGCTTTTCTCGAGTGACACAGGTGTCATCGGACTCGCTACCCTTCCTCTTTTAGACCTGTCTGGAGTTCGCTACGAATACTGAAGAGAAGAGTATAAATGTATCTTTTTTACTGGAGCGGCGACACTGTCCGTGTTAGTTACGTTCATAAAATGCTGCGCGTCATTATCATACATAGGAAATTAAAATAGTAGCACGATTTTTACGAGTAAAAAGCATTATCGATTAGATAAATGTTTTAACATGGTATTTTTTAATAAAAAAAAATTGAGAGTTCAATGATTGCATAATAATCATTTTTATTATTGACTCTGACTCGATATTAATTGATGGTCGTAAAAACGAAAACCTTACGTAATCTGCAAAAATTAAATATTGTTTCTTTACCAGACTGACTACATTCCTAAACGGACAGATAATTTAAATATGTCAAGTTATTCTCCATCAGTATTTAAATATCAAATTTACCATTTAACAAGTACCGACACGCAGTACAGGACACACTTCCATTGGTCGATATCCTGCATCCTTATGCAAATTTATATATAATATAGCCTTCAGTTGGAATACATTTCTATAACGAAAAATGCGGAAGGAGCGAAGAAAGGCTATCAATGGACCAATTGCGAATCTTGCAAACAGTTAACGTTATTGCTCGAGCTACTGGAATCAGCCTCGAATGTTGCGCAAGCAACATACTCGAGCAATAACGTTAACTGTTTGCAAGATTCGCCTATCCTTTATCGTTTCGAATAGATGAATTTCTTCGCTCCAGTCTCCAAGCTGAATCAATGCTACTTTTTGCCGATCGTCGTGTCTCGGTCTTTGGCTCGAAGGCTTCTATTTTTTACGGATTCTCTCTCTCTCTCTCTCTCTCTCTCTCTCTCTCTCTCTCTCTCTCTCTCTCTCTCTCTCTCTCT